AATATCATCACCATCATTCATCTTTTTCACGATCATTCGTTCAGTTATTCATTCATCCATTTATACCTTCATTAATTCCTTCATTCAATCGATCAATCAACCATTCACTCATTCATCTTGATGGTGTAATGATGCATTTGCTTGTGCTTCCTGTCTTCACACAGGCAATCAATCACCCTTATTATCGTCCACCCCTTTCTCTCTCTCTCTCTCTTTCTCTTACTCATTCATTGTTAACTCATTGGTTCATTTAAAACATCATATTTCAGAATCCATTGTAGATGAATGTAGGAAGCAATTATACATTATGAACTGAAGGTTATGTAATTAGCTGAATAATTGGCCAGTAATAATTACTTTAATCACTTATTTCAAAAACACACAGACACACACACACACACTTAATTAATTACTCATATGGAAAACACACACACGCATACACACACAAAAACGCACAAGCACAAACACACGCACAACACGCATACGTACATAGAGACACGAGCGTACATACACAAATAAACAAACAAACAAACAAATATACATACTGTTGAGATTGCAATGTTATTGCTGTTGTTGTTGTTGTTGCTACAGCCATTTTGAGATGATGACTTTCCAACTACAGCAATTAAATAGCAGTATGACATTTAAAAAAAATTATCTTTATTTCTGAAAATTATAACACATTTAAAAAATTATACAAATAATCGTATTAGTATTGTTATTAATTATTATTACAATAATTTGTAATAATAGTAGTTGTAGTAATAGTAGTAGCAGCAGCAGCAGTAGTAGTAGTAGTAGTATTAGTAGTTGTGGTAGTAGTAGTATAATTAGTGTTTCTGTTAACTGTCACATCCTTTTACAAAATTGTTTATAAACATTAAGTTTCCAGAAAAAGAGAGAGAGAGAGAGAGAGAGAGAGAGAGAGAGCGAAACCCATTCTAAGTATTTATTGTCCTCATTCATTCATTCCTTCATTCATTCACTCATTCATTCACTCATTCATTCACCCATTCATTATTACTTTTGTTAGTAATATTACTAATTTCTGATGGTATAATAATAATAACAATAATAATAAAAGCAGTAATAATAAATGTCATTATTATTATTATTATTATTATTATCATCATCACAGGGTACATTCAACTTATCTAGCTCTTATCAGTAGCCATAACAGCCCATGTTAATGAAATGGCAACAAATTATTAATATTCTTAAACAATTATTATTTCATTAGTATTATTATATTACAACTACTACTACTACAACTACTACTACTACTACTACTACTACTACTACATTAATTATAACAATTACAACAATTGACTATTATTTAATATGTAACCATTATAATGGCAGAAGGTAATTAATTTTGAGATAAAAATGAACTCTAATGCAATAAATTAGCAAACACATTTATAAAAAAAAATTTCACACACACACACACGCACGCACGCTCGCACACAAACACACACACGCACACACACTAAACAGGAATTCATAAGCAAACACACACACAAACAAACACACACACACATATAAAACAATAATAACATTGGCAAACTAATAATCATGCTGTGTGACCATTTACAAGACAATTAGATCCACTGTACAAACAAAGAAATCATTACCAATCTCATTTTACAAGGATGTATAACAAAACCACAACTACAGACCTACAAAATCAACAAGCCACTAAACCATGTATTAATTCAGACACTAAACTTAACTTATTATTATTACTACTACTACATTAATTATAACTATTATGACAATTGACTATTATGGTATTAAGTTAAGGCTGTACCTTATTTTTATTCATTCACACACACACACACACACACACACACACACACACACACACACACACACACACACACACACACACACACACACACACTAAACGGGCATTCATAAGCAAGCAAACACGCGCACACACACACACACACACATAAAACACACAAACATACACAGTCACATAAAAGTACAAACACACATACAGACCAAAGGATTCTTGCAGAAACGCACACTCACACACACAAACACATACAAAAACTGACCATACGGATTAGAGAGAGGTCCTTTACAATCGATAACATGAACTTGGTCATTGGGCAGTTTGACCCCAGAACTCGAAAAATATCGATCTGCCTCCGGATCCACCACTAGTAAAGCAACTGAATTTTTATTTGACTTGATTAGCATTACAACATCTTTGTGGTTCATGTTCGTGACATCAATGTCATTCACTAAAATTAGGCGATCTCTCTCTTTTAGGCCCCCAAGTTGAGCCGGGGAATTTCGGTCTATACTACCTACATACTGACCTGGTTTGCCTGAGTTAGGGAATAGAGATGTGCGTGAATATGTATGTTTAGGTTTGTTTGTTGTTGACCATTGCATGTTTCATACAAACTACTAAACATAAAATAAGCATATAAATAAACTAAAAAAACTAAAGCAAAGAAAACAATATAAAATAAACACAAAACATACACAGAAGACATACAAAAACATACAAAGGACACACAAAAAGCATACAAAAAACATACAAACCATCTAAACTCTGCAAATTAAAACCATAGCCCTGAAAATCTTGCCATAGACTTAACAGACATGACCTCAGCGAATAACCTGTATCCATGCTAGAGTAATCTGTTGCATGGAAATTTTCAGAAACAATTTTTCAGAACTAAAAAAAGTTTGGCAAACATTTAAAAGTTTAATATTTCTATAAGATGTGTACACCAGGGTCAAAAAAAATTTGATAAAAACCTAAAAGTGTAATTATTATTTTGTTATAATATTATTTCAAATAGTATAATCTGAAATAATATTAAAATAAAATATGCATAAAACAAATTTGTGTAAAATAATGAAGTATCTACGTTTGCCAATGACATATTTTTCAGCAAAATTCAACAAGTCTAAACTAGAAAAGGTATGTACTCTGTAAGTAAGATGAGCTAACTAACTAACTAACTAACGCTAACCTGAGTACATATTTTTATTAAAGGAAGAAGCAGTGAATGGATTACTGGCCGGCGTCTCTCGCACTCTCAAATTACTCATGTTGCTATCTATAACTATATTTAATCTTTTGTAGTACTCAGCGCCATCCGGACTGACAACCAATAGCGTCGCCTCATTGGGGTTCGTTTTGATTCTATTCACAACCTGCTGGTGATTCTCAACTCCGATATTTATGCCATTAACTTCAATTATGCGATCTCCCTTCATCAAGCCGGCCAGTTCTGCCGGAGAGTTAGGATCAACCGAGCCGACATATTGGCCTTCTTTTCCTTTATCGGCGTGCAGATTGAAACCGTAGCCGTTGAAATCCGACCATTTCCGCAAACGGCAGAGACGAGGTTTTGGGGCGTCCACTGGGATTTCGGTGGGCATTTCTTTTTTGTTTAATTGTCCGTTTAATTCGGTTTAAATTTGAATGAAAATTAATTTTAAAAAATTTTTTAATATTTTTTTTGGAAAAAATGAAACTAGGCACGACCGACCCGTCCGTTACGCCTAAAAAATTATCGAAACTGCACAGCTGCGCACCTATTTTTATATTACTGTTTAAAAGTTAATTGAGGGATGGTAGCAATTTGTCGGTATAAAACAATCGGAAGATTTTTTATTTGAAAACTTTGAATACTAAAATTAATCGTAAAATTAATAACTTGTAAATTTAAAAACTTAAAAATTTATTTTTTTGTCTTTTTTCAAATAATGGTACGAATCGAAGCAAATCTCATAAAAGTCGATTTTAATTAATACAAGTTAGGTTTATATTTTACATATAAATTTTCTTTGTGCGAGTTTGTTTGTGCGCGAAAATGAAGTAAAACTAAAACGTAATACATATAAAGAAAAATGAGATGGTTATTGAAAGGTCGATTTAGTGGAAAGCTCCCGTGGCAGACTTGGCTTCCGCTTTGCTAATCCCTTTCAATTTGAAAATCATCATCGTCGTCGTTTTCATCATCATCATCACCATCAGTCATCTCCATCAATCATCATCATCACCATCAATCATTATCAACACCATCAATCATCATCACCACCATCATCAATCATAATCATCACCATCAATCATCATCATCACCATCATCAATCATAATCATCGCCATCAATCATCATCATCACCATTAATCATCATCATCAACGCCATTATCGTCGGAAAGGATTATGGAAAGCAGCGTCTCTGAGACCTAACAACCATTTGGAATTAAAAGCATCTGTGATGATGATGATGATGATGATGATGACGACGATGATGATGACGATTAATGGATAAACAGTTGGTTAGTGTTGGCAGAGCTATAACACCACCCACATTGGCCAACGAATGAATAAAAGAATCATTGAATGAGCGAATGATTCAGTGAGCGAACGATTGAACATTTAAATTGATAAAATGAAATCGACAGTTTCCCCGTGTGATAAGTTAGTTATAATAGATTGGTTGGTAGGCTGTTTGGTTGTTTAATTGATTGGTCGGTCGGTTGATTGATTGATTTGTAGGTTACTTGACTGAGAGTTTAAAAAAAATTTGTGTTAATTTCGTTAAGAATATAAATCTGTTTCATTAAGATGGCTACATGTAGCAATACAAATTTTATGTACTAAAACCAATTATAATAAACGTGATCCCAGCGTATAACTTGAAATCATAAATTGACAAATATATTTAAAAACCAAACAGCTAATAATTTAAGTTAAAATAAATCTTTAATTGAAGTAAGTTTTTTTGATAACGCTGTCCAAAGGTGATTTCTGGTAGACAAAAATTAAGAATCAATCAATCAGTCAATCAACCCAATTAATTATTTAATCAATCGTTCGTTTGTTCGTTCATTTATTTAATCAATCAATCATCCATTCATTCTTTCATTCATAAGTTTTATAAAAATTAAATTTGAAAAAAAAAACTTGAATAAATGTGAATTTGTACGGGACAATCCATTTCGTCACTTCCGTCAAAGCAATCCGGCAGACTGTCACAGACGTATTTCCTTTGAACGCACGTGTCCTTGTACTCACAATTCACCAAATCCAATTTACAATCCGGTCCTGGTATGCCTAATTCGCCTAATAGTAAAAAAAATTATTTATTTATTTTGTATTAATAACAGCGGTAAAATTTTTGAAGATCTCTCCAAGTCAATATTTATTGCATTGCCTAAAAAATCTATTGCAACGGAATGTGAACTACGTTGAACAATCAGCTTGATGAGTCATCTTACAAAACTTCTCTTGAAAATTTTGATGATGAGAGCACGAAGCAAAATCAGATCTGAAATTTCAAATGTACAATGTGGTACAAGAAACGCTATCTTTATGCTACAAATGATCAGTGAACAAGCGATTGAAATGAAGAGGGACTTGTTTATATGTTTCGTCGATTACTCCAGAGCTTTTGATTGCGTGAGTTTATGGAAATATTGGAAAATTTGGACATTGATGGAAAAACCTCTATTGGTAGCAAGAGCTGCGATAAAAGTTGGTAACAAAATGACTAGTTTTGTCCTTGTGTCACTTGTTGAATATCACCCCATTTCAACAACTACAAAGTGTTAAAGATCGGGTTTTGTGGAGGTCGATGGTCGCCAATGTTCTGAAAGTATAGGGCACGAGAAAGAAGAAAGATATTACGTTATATACATTAAACCAACAGCCACTATTAAAATATATGGTCAATAAATATTTTCCATTTATTTTTACAAATAAATTTATTTAAAATTAAAATTTAAAAAAATAAATAAAGTTTCTGCCACGCCTTTGTCGCAAGACGCTTCATCGCTTAAATCGCCACATGTAAAATCGCCGTCGCAAACGTCCAGGTAGCTAATGCACCTACGATCGCTTTTGCAGAAGAATCCTCTCGGGTCACATGATTCTGCGAGAATTTCGTTTTACAAAATCGATAATTTTATAAGAACAAAAGAAAAAATAAAATAATTGAATTCTACAAAATTGAAAATAGTACCTACATATATACTTATTCTGGTCTTACGATATTGAATGTTAAATTGTGCACTGTTCATCCAACTTCATATGGTAATTTCTTAAATTATTCTGAACACTGCACATAATAATATAACATGTACCACTTATTTCCTGATGTATTTTGTTGTTAGGTGGTTTACTTTATTTTGAAAAAAATTCAAAAATCGCTAAATTTTGTGGATGAATTAATTGAAAATGTGACTAAGATTGTTATATTCAGGGCCTGTTAAAACCATTTAGAGGTCAGGGTCAGATAACATGTGGTGTGGTTTACACTACTTTTTATTAGTATTACCGCAAATGTCTTTTTCATTGACCTCTTAAACTCAGAGGCCCATGCTGTATGACCTTTCTGACCTCCTCTTTCTTGACGTGATAATAATAAATTTTAATTTTCAATAAACGTACGTGCGTTTGAGAATTGCGAAAGATGTGTAGAATAAAACAAATAGATTGTAATCAAAGTAAACATTTTTTTGCTTTGTTTGTATTTATTTTAAACAATTTTAAACTATCTTTGCTTATATTTTAGATTGCACTTTCCAGTAAAATTTGATTTTTTAAACAATAAAATGATATGTAGGGAATTTAATTTACGAACTTAGCGTTAACTTGGAAGCATCTGTGGTTTTAGTGTTACGTACATATGTCACTATTGCTATCCAATTTATTACAACCACACTGCAGTCAAAACTTCAATTATTCATCAGCCACCTGATATCGAAATTCCTTATATTAAAAGTCTTTATATTTTAATTTAAAAAAATGAATAAATATAGTAATTTATTCATCTGTATAAGAACAAAGACACAATAACACGGCTAAGCAAAGACATAAATAACACCAAAGAACAGGATTTATGATTCTACCGGTTTCTATGCAACCGACCCTGTATAACAGAACCGTCGGTTAGTCCTTCCAGCACGTTTCATCATTCTCAAGAAGTTAGTTGTCTCGAATTTCTCCTTATTTCTTGTCTCAACTCGTTCGTAATTTTAAACTTTTAAAAATTTAAAGGATAATGGAATCTATAGGGATGAAAAGTGGTGGGCCTGGCTTCGTTGGCATCAAATTCTGCCAGGAATGGTAATTTATTTAATTTTATTTTATTTAATTTTAAAATTTTAAGTTCGGAATTGTCAATTTTTATATTATAATAATTCTCAATTCAGTTGTCCTGTACCGTTTTACAAGCACGTTTAGTTTTAGTTTTAGGACGTAGTAAAGCCTACTAAACATTAAGTTTTTTAGTTAGTAGTTTAGTGTTTCACTGTTTCGGCTTTCAATTTTTAGAATTCTTAGGCAAAATAGATAAGCATAAGATAAGAGATACAAGTTAATTTTTTTTGAGTAATTATTAATTACTAATAGTAAAAACTAAAAAGTAAAGCTAAGTTAGACTACACTACATGTTTGTTAACTAACATTCAGTTTTAAGCAATTTCAATTTTATGTTTGAAATGATAGTATAATAATAATATAAACTTTGGGAAGGTTAGGGAATGTTGTTTGTTGATTTCAGACAAGTGTAATTATTATACTAATTTTGAAATTTTAATTTCATTTTGTCACCCCATTGTTTTTTGTTTATTAAATTAATTTTTAATATTTTGTTGTGTTGAAATTTGAAAATTTTTCAATTTTTTCAGTAATAATATGCTGTACCCAAAAGAGGATAAGGAACAGCGAAAACTATTATACTCGGTAAGTAAGACGTTTCAAGTTTATGTGTGTTTGTTTGTATGTTGGTTGGTTTGTACGTGCTTAAGTGTATGTGTGTGTATGTCTGTTTCTGTTTCTGTTTTCAATTTTATTTTTAAATTAGCAATTTTTTAAAATCTTTAATGATAGGTATCAAATTTGTATTTTCAACATAAAATAGACCAATTTTTTCTTTCCAGTGTCGAAATTGCGACTTCCAAATGGATGCAGACAATCCTTGTATTTATGTCAACAAGATTCAACATGAAGTCGAGTTAGTATTATTTTTTTTCTCAAGTTGTCAGTTTTAGGATTATGAATTCTGTTTTTTGTTAGCTACAACAAAGAAATATTATGGCTTTCCATTTTCATTTTAAATGTTATTAATATTACAATCCCTTATAATATCACAGTTAAATCAAACATCCTTGTTGTCAAATTGATATTTTTGGACAAACTAACCAACATAATTTAAAAACTTGTAATTTGAAATTTCAGCGAACTGACTCAGATAATTGGTGACGTCATAGCTGACCCCACCCTCCCAAGAACTGAGGACCATCCATGCCAGAAGTGTGAGCATAAAGAGGCCGTGTTTTTTCAATCGCAGACAAGGAGAGCTGAGGTATGTTTGATGTTTGTTTGTGTGTTTTCAGGTCTATCTTTTAAGTGTGTGTGTGTGAGAGAGAGAGAGAGAGAGAGAGAGAGAGAATGTGAGAGAGAGAGAGAGAGAGAGAGAGAGAATGTGAGAGAGAGATGAATGTAGTTTTGAATAATATTTAATCACTCCAAATAAATTTTTAAATTTTATTCAAAATATTGTTAAATAATTTAATTCTTTTTTCAATTTTCAGGAGGGAATGAGACTCTATTACGTCTGCACTCATCCATCATGCATGCACAGATGGACTGAATAGAGATTGATCTTTTTATTTATTTTTTTTCTTTTTATTCCTTTTATTCTTTTTTATCAATTTCATGATTCCAGAAATACTAAATTTATATGTTGTTCATTTGATTTGAATTCATTCAATGACTGTGGTTACTTAATATACAACAATGTGAGTGAAAAACAAAAACAGTGCCATATCTCATTATCAACGTTTGGTTTTATGCTAAAAAATATATTAAAACCTTAAAAATTGATTTCAAAGTGGTGGAATGAATAAGGACGGATTAACTTGTGTGAATGGTTTTGCAATGTGTTTGTAAAAAAATAAATATTTTTATCAAAATAAATGCTTATTTTTTACAGAATATTTTTGTAAAAGACGTTTAAAATCCTTAAAATATTTACAAAACTAATAAAAACCTTAACCGATATATAAATATCCGTATCTATTGGCCCAATGCAAAAATAGGTACATCACTTGTTTCTGTTGCAAGACAAATTCATAACATTATTATAATGATTAAGATGCTGAAGTTTTTAGTTCAGTCAGGGATTAGTGTATGATCAGTGATGTGCGCTCGTTTGATTGTTGTCCATTTGGTTGGTTTGATTATTTAAATTACGTTCCATCTGGCCGTATTTTTGTATATTTTTATTGAATAACCATTTTGATTTGTTTTTTAATTTAATTTAAAAACTAATTTTGAACAAATATACAACAAAATATAAAAAAAAATTTTAATCAGTAATTTTAATTTGTTTTAAATTTAATTTACTAAAAGAATAAATTCTAATTTAATTAAAAAATATAATAGCAGCCATATTTTATTCACTTTGTTGTGTATTTTGTTTTTTAAATTGAGTTTCTTCTTGCTTGATTTTATCAGCTAAGTGAAGTCATTTTTTAAATAAATTAGTCATCTATCATCACCGTTAGTTAGTCAAACAATAAAACTGCAAGCTAGATTAAGAATCTTTGGGAAAAAAAACAATCAAAAATGGATAAATCCAACATGTCTGAACTGAGATTTGAGGCCCCACTGGCAACATTTGACATGGATGAATGGAATGAATTCGTCGATGATCAACCAGCCAGCCCATGTAGTGCAGTCTCGAGGATGAGTGAGGCCTCCTCCTCCGTCAGTAGCAGTCCCCAGAATAACAAGAATAACAACAGTTGGTTGTTTTTCAAATTCAGTTGATTAATTTAATTTCTGAAATTATGTTATTCCACTCAAACAACTGTATTTAATTAACCATATTACATAACTATTAAGTTTTAATTATTTGTTAGTTAGACAAGCAAATACATAAATAAAATAATAGTGTATCAGTCATTGATACTTTCATCCCCACCTATAACCTACTTGTTTCTGTTCCCAAGGTTATGCCACAGAACTGGACATAGGCGACAACAATTCTGAAGATTTCGAAAACGAAAACCTGTCTGGGTCCCTGGAAGACCTCGTCAACACATTTGATGCAAAAATAATCAAGTGCTTTAAAAATTATAACGAACACTCTGAGATAATAGCACCCATTCAAATCAGAAGCGAGGATGACATACTGGCCGACAATCAGTAAGTTAGGCCTACGGGTGATATTAAGTCTATGTTATGTCTTTGTTATTATGTGCTTGGTTGATATTATGTCTATGCTATTATGTGTCTGGGGGATATTATGTCCATGGCATTAGGTGGTCTGTAGATATTCTGTAAACATTTATTTATTTAAAACAAAAACCCGAAGCCTAGGCTTGTGGGGCAACATACACACAATATATCATAATTGAGAAAAAAAAATTAATTCAAACAAAATTGGAGAAAAAATTAAAGCATATAGTTTTATTTGTCCCAAACAGAATCAGTCAATCAATTATTATTATATAAAAATCAAATTACGTAGTTCTAGCTGTTACATAATTCCAAATTAAATGTTTATAACGTTTAAAAAATGATACATTCTCAATCTGGACGAAGATACCGACACCTCTACTACATTAATAACAAGCAAGGAAGACTTCCAGGTGACAAAATGCATCAACATGAGAGATAATGAAATTGTTATTAATAAGCTTATTCGAATGTTTAAAGGCAAAAGGGAAAGAGATACAAAGAAGAAAAATGAAAAATTGGTGTCAGAAAATAATAAAATGCCTGCCAGAAACACTGAAAACAATGACATCCTAATCTTTGATGATGCACCAGTCATGCCATGCAACACGAAATCGTCTACATATGGTAGAGAAGATAGAAAATTTAAGACTTTGGAATATGATGAAAACACGAATGGAAAGAGAGCGTCATATTTTCAAAGTTTTGTTGATGTTGATAATGATGACGAAGAGAACACAAACCCACAGAAACAGATCCGCAGTAGAGATTATCAAAAAAGTTAACGAAATGGAATTGTACAACCTCAGCCGATGAAAACTTATCAAAAGAGGAGATTTGATTCATTTTTAAAATATTCGCTAGTGTGGGTAAACCGAAAAATATTTTTTTAATCAAAACAAATTTTAACGAATAAATTTAAAAAAATGTTTACATTATTTAAATTATTACATTTATTACAATATTCAAATCTAATATAATAATTTTCAAGATTAAAACCACTCCAAAATTAAATTTTCTCACAATATTTATAATAATTGGAAACGCAGATTCGTCATGTAAAAGCCCCTATCGGCGTTCATAATGTCTTTATCTCTTTATTTATTAAATCTCTGTTAAAGATCTACTATGGCGTTCTAAGAAACAATTGAGTTCGATTAGGAAGATTAAATCAGTTGTTCAAAAATTATAATAATAATGTCCTTTGGCATTATCAATTATCGTTTGGTACTTTTTATTTATTTATCCTTTAAAAAAAAATCTGAAGCTTCGGCTTGTTAAGCGACATACACACAAAATAGCATAACTGTAAAAAGAATTAAATCAAACAAAAGTCACAAACAGAATCAGTCAATCAATTATTATTATATAAAAGTTAGATTATGTAGTTCTCTTGCTGTTACGTATTTACAAATTAAATGTTTATAATGTTTAGAAAGTGATGTAGTCTTTTTGCTTTATGTCGCGCACACACACACACATACACTCACACACACAATCATAGAACATGGTGGACTCTGACTGGGCACTATGGCAATATTTACCCCATTGACTGGACCAAATCAGGAATGGTGGGGGGTGGTGGGGACACGAAATTGTTCGGTGGGGGAATCGGAGAGGGCGAATCTTATTCCCAAGCTTGTATTGTTAGTTTTGTTGAATTCTTGTTCCGTTGAATATTTTATTTGATTATTTTTGCTTTGTTTTATCGGCAGGGCTCTCACGTTGTTCTTACTTTGAGTGTGCGTTTGTATATGCGTGTGTGCTTATGTTTTGACGTCATATCATCATAATACAATAACCACCTTACACGCTGTTATCATTCTTTTAATCATAAAAACACCACTTGCTCGCTCAACGTCTTGTCATTACATTGCATACAACAAGGCCATGGTCGCGTCAACAAAACACCGTCATTATGACGTCATAACCGCGTCACGCGATAACCTCAGGACTCGGGCGTTGTGGACGACCATCGTAGCGACGACAACAACACTGCAGATGGATGGAAGGTGCAGGATGATGACGTGGACGATGACGCGGAAGATGACGACGCCATGCTGTTGGACGACCACGTGATCAGCGCCGATGACGTCATCAATGAGTTGGATGAGCTATTAGATGTTGGTGGATTTGTTTTTTTTTTAATCACTGTGGGTGACTATGATTATGAATAGGTTGATGACGACGAAGATGATGATGATGACGATGTTGATGATGACTTTGGCATGTTGGTGGATGATAGATTCTTATTAGTTCACTTCACACAAACACACACACACATACACACCTTTGAAATTTTGATTAAATTTATTGGTAGTAATAGCAGCAGTACTGATGATGACGACGATGATGTTGACGTTGTTGCTGCTGATGATGATAATAATTATGATGATGATGATGAAGGTGATGATGAAGATGACGAGGATGAATGAGCTGAGGTTGGTGATGATGAAATGTATACCTTGGTGAAAATAATGACGACAGAATAAATGATTGAATGTGTGTGTGTGTTTATGTGTGGCACTGTTGTGTGATGAATGACAGGACATTAGTCAGTTGTGTGTGTGCGTGTGTGTGTGCGCGCGTGTGTGTGCGTGTGTATGTTTGATGGATAGGAAGACATTAGTCAGTTGACATGTGAATGCACTGATATGTAAATTTATACTGAGGAGCAAATATTACCTAGCAAACAGAAAGCGAAAAATCTACACATAAACACACACATACACACACACACATACATACTGTGGCAAAAGTAGGTACATACATTTACATTATACACACCCTTTCACGCACACGCACACACACACACACACACACAAACACACACACGCATACATACGCTCGCTCGTAACAGCAGCAAGGCGTTTTTTAGAAATATACGCAGAATCGCACACACATATACACACACACGCACAGACGCACACGAACACACGCATATACAGGACGCAAACAATAGCAACACTCAGCGTTCTTTGAGGAGTTTACACGGAAAGTTACACAATCGTAAAAACTTTGTGTCAAGAATTCTGGCTACTGACCACCTGAGGTTGACCAAAAAGTTTCCCAACAATAGTGTCAAGGATAGGGAGGCTAATATCGCCGATAATCCAGGTTTGTTTGTGACGATGATGTTTTTGTTATGATGATGATGGTGGTGATGTAATTATGATGATGATAAGGTGTATGTCCTGTGCTGTGATGACGATGTTGTTGTTGTTATGACGATGATGTGACTTCTAAGTCGACAGCACGATGACTTAGCAAGCATTGCAGTGACCGAGTTCGAATTCACGTCACTCCTTTCTTATTTTCATCACAATCAATCGTCACCATAATCATCATGACCACCATAATCGCCACCACGATCGCCACCATCGCCGCCACCATCGCGACAGAGCTCTTGAAATTGCCCCTGGAAACCTTGCTACGTATGCGCGACGAGATGAACCGAAGCATTCTCGACCATTCGGAGGTCCTGATTCGCGAGCTGGACATCAGGGACGAGCTGGAGTACGAGAAGGAGTTGAAGAACCAGTTCATCTGGCTGTTGATCACCGTGCAGAAGAGGCGTAAGGAGCTGATGTCGTCGCTACAGCTGCAGCAGCAGCAACAACAACAGCTACAGCCACAACAACAACAACTATCGCATAATAACAACACCAATAATAATAACAATAATAATAATTGCATCGTCGTTGATAATAATAGCACTACTAATTTTAACGTTAATTACAATAATAACAACAATAATAATAATAGCCATCAACTGATTGATGACAATAACAATAACAAGAGTAACGTTAATAACATCAACAACAACAACAACACTGTTACTTCTACACCAGCCAACAACAACAACAGCAACAATAACAATACCACTAAACTCATAAACACTTCCAACACCACCACCACTACTACTACTACTGGTGTCAAGCAACCAGCTGTTAGTTGCTGATAAATTAATATTTTACGTTAATTAGCTGGTCCTGTGAACTGTTAATTAGTATTTTTATGTTAATTAGGTGGCCCTGTTAGCTATAAATAACTTTGAGCTAGTTTTACTTGTGATGAAAATTTATTTAAAATGGGAATTTTACACAATTTATTGCATTAATCATTATAAATTATTAAATTTATTAGTAAATTTGGTCACCAGTTATGATCACGAATGAATAAATTATGTTAATGAGGGGTTATTTTGTTAATTAACGATGCAGTATCTGACCACCGTCATTCCGTATAAGAAGCAGCAGGCCCCTCTCTCTATCGATATTCTGCTTGTTTTTATCAGAAGTATGTAGTCGGTCGATTGGTTGGTTGGTCGGTTGGTTGCCTAATTGATTAGTTGATTGGTTGGTTGGTTGATTGGTTGGTTGGTTGGTTTGTTGGTTGTTTGATTAGCTGGTTGGTTAATTGGTTGGTGGGTTGGTTTGTTTGTTAGCTGATTGATTAGTTGGTTGGCTGGTTGGTTGGCTGGCAGGTTGGTCATGGATTTGTAACGAAATTAAACGTTAAAATCACCAAAGTATTGTCGGCTATCAACGACAACAGTCCCACAACGCCATCACTACTCACTGATTACATACTCAAAAGTAAACTTATACTTCAATTACCATCTTTTTAAAAGTAAACTTCTGTTTAGTTTGTATTATCACCGATACTGATTACTACACATATAACATAGACATTTATTAGTATCAATTATTGTTTTTATTAATAAAAATTTTGTTGATATTTTTTTAGTTCTTTGTCCTGCAGCCTAATGATTGATTGCTTGAGCCAGACAACAACAACAACAGCATGAATATCATCAACAACATTAGCAACAATAACATCAACAACAACAACTACTACAACATCAGTAGCAATAACAACAACATCATCAGCAACAACATCAACAATAATATCAACAACAACAATAACATCAACAACTATAACATCAACTACTATAACATCAACAACAATGATATTGACATGAAAAAAATAGCCAAAGAAACACCAACCATCATTATCAATAATAATTTCAACATTACAAATAACGTCAACTATAACAACAACGACAACAACAACCTCAATGACAACAACAACAACAACGACAACAACAACCTCAATGACAACAACAACAACAACGACAACAACAACCTCAATGACAACAACAACAACAACGACAACAACAACCTCAATGACAACAACAACAACAACGACAACAACAACCTCAATGACAACAACAACAACAACGACAACAACAACCTCAATGACAACAACAACAACAACGACAACAACAACAACATCGATAATTTTATACAGTCTGGCAAATTCTTTTTCTTCTCTTTCTTACCTTTTTGTACTCTTAATTTCATCATCTACGTTTCTTTGGAATTTTTGTTTGTTTGCGGACAATTTTATCTTTTCAAACTCAAAGTTAATCATGGCCAATAAAATATCAAAATTTTATAATAAAGTAATAATAATTCAATAATTTATTGAAATAATAAATATAGTTGGAAGTTTGAAATTGGAAAAAATAGATAGATAGATAGATTGGTCATAGTTTTACTAGTCGCATATATGAAACCAAAAAAACCATACGGATATAACTTCTATTTATACTTATATTTTTTATTTTAAATCTAAATATACAAACATATATATATATATATATATATATATATATATATATATATATATATATATATATATGTTTATACATGTATCATTTTTTTGGCTTTATTAGTTTCATATCGTATTTATCTAGTCAGTATATATAACATAATAGATGATTAATAATAATTTATACACACCACACACACACGCATACACACAGACACACCTTGCGATTGCCACCTTCATCATTATTATCATCGTCATTATTATCAGTAATATTATCGTTATAATCATCAAGGCGTCAGTCGATCTGTTGTTTCGTTCTTTTGTTTGTATGTTTGTTTGTTTGTATGTTTGTTTGTTTGTTTGTATGTTAGTTTGTTTGTTTGTATGTATCTATGTATATTTATATTGTATGTACTTGTACACCAAACTACTTAAGTATGCTTACATTATTATTAGTTAAATATGCTTCTAACTAGTACTGCTGTACTGTGCTGTGCTGGTTGTGTACTAGCTTTCAATGTTGTGTAGATATGGTACTGAAGTATGCTAATTTTATAATTATGTTAATTAATTAGCTAATTAATTAATTAATTAATTAAATTAGTATTAGCAGTACAGCTTTTTATATGTACTGATATACATACATAAAAACTATAGACACCGAATTACGATTGCATTTTACTTGTGTGTGTATGTCTCTCTCTCTCTCTCCCCCCCTCTCTCTCTCTCTCTTTCTCTCTCTTTCCTCTCTCTTTCTTTCTCTGTGTGTGTGTATGTGTGCACGGTTTTTGTATGTAAGTGTATGTAACAAAACTGTACATAGATGATGATTATTATTAATATTGTTTTGTTTTTGTTATTATTATTATTGTTACTGTTATTACATGAACGTGATAAGATTACTGATGACATCAATTCATTATTTCTTAAATTAATTAATTTTTTTTATTTTTTAATGTTAATTATTAATGGTTAGCACGACCAAAATACGACAACATTGTAACATGTCTTCGTTTATTATATTAATTATAAAAAGCCTGTTAGATGATTCATTCATTCATTCACCCATTCATTTATCCATTCATTTATACATTCATTCGTTCATTCATTCATTCGTTCATTCATTCATTCGTTCGTTCATTCATTTATTCATTCATTCATTCATTCATTCATGTATATATAGAAGAGCTTTAAACGCCTATTGTACATACAGGCTTTTTGTGCGTAGGACAATTTCAACCTCTATTACTATTTTTTTTATCTTTTCTCTTTCTTCTTTCTTCGTTCATTCTTTCATTCGTTCGTTCGTTCATTCGTTCGTTCGTTCGTTTGTTTATCAATTCGTCACTCTATTAGATAATGATACACTTGCACTTAACAGATTTTTTGCAGCTGTAGAAAGAGAGAGATAGATAGTTGATGATACACCCATCTATCAAAAGATAGATGGATGGATGGATGGAATGATGGAATGATGGATGGATGGATGGATAGATAGATAAATAGAGAGAGAGAGAGAGAGAGAGAGAGAGAGAGAGAGAGAGAGAGAGAGAGAGAGAGAGAGAGAGAGAGAGAGAGAGAGAGAGAGAGAGAGAGAGAGATAAAAGAGATTGTTTTATTACATTATCAAGCCAATATATGTAGTAACATAATATGATACTATACGCCATTTATCATATATACTTATTAAAGTAGTTATTTTCTATAGTATATATATATATATATATATATTGTTTTGATATATATTTCTATATTTTTTATATAATGAAATGACGTGATAATAAAAATGATAATAATATTAATAATAATAAGTATTTTAATTATTATTATTATTATGATATTAATTTTATTATTATACTTTGCCTACTATCTGCGCTTCTCAATTTAATTCCCAGCCTCTTAATATGAATAGTGGTAGAAAAATAATACATCTTTCTTACCTATCGACCGATTGATTGATTGATTGGTTAAATGGATGAATGATTGATTGATTGGTTGATTGATTGATTGATTGTTGATTGATTGTTTATTAATTGTTGGCTGATTGTTGATTGTTTGATTGGTTGGTTGGTTGATTGATTGATTGGTTGATTGATTGATTGATTGATTGATTACACAATTTGCAGCATCGCTTGAGTAGTTTGCTGATAAATTCATTCTTCCTTATTATTATTATCATCATCATCATCATCATTATTATTATTATTATTATTATTATTATTATTATTATTATTATTATTATTATCATTACATTTCACTCTCATTATTATCATTACTCACGAACTCCCATATAACACTCACCCAAACGACTTTTGAGGCGTGCATGATAATGGTGATGACGACGGCGATGATAAGATAGAATATATGATAAAATCATTTAAAAACCGCATTTATTCGTGTATGTGTGTGTGTGTGTGTGTATTTCATATTTTTAATCACATACGAGGCTCACTTAAACTTTGATGACGTGTTATCTCTTTTCTCTTCATCTTTCAAATCGCTTAATCACCTGTTTTATTTAATACAGTCTCTTAAGAGGCTTTCATGCAATCCTTAGATCCATCACTTGCTAGATTTTAATTAGATAATTGATTAATAACTTCATTTATTTATTTGTTCGTTCGTTCGTTCGTTCATTCATTTATTCATTCATTAGCAGAGGTAATTCACTCGTTCACTCATTCATTCATTACACTAGTCACTGTAGCCAATGATAAATAATTCTTTCGCGTTTTGCTTTAATACTACCAAATACTAGCTAGCACACACACACACACACTCAAAGCCTAGCATCATTTATCTAACATAGTATTTCCTCTTATAAAATGCATAGAAAAGCTTTTTGAAGAAAAAATTTGAGATTTGTGAACAAAATATTTTTAATTTAATGCATTTACAATTACATCGGCTGCTACTACTACTATTACTACTACTACTACTTTTGCTGCTGCCGCTGTTACTACAACTACTACTCTATCACTGCAGCGGCTACAACAACTACTACTACTACTAAAATTATTTCTACTATTGTTACTACTACTACTAAAAATAAATAGCATTAGATTAGTTTAGAGAACATAGTTGCTTATCGCTTACTTAAAGCAATTAATTGATTGATTAATTGATTGATTGATTAATTAATTAATTAATTAATTAATTATTTGTTTGATTAATTAATTAATTCATTTATTTATTATTTGTTTGATTTATTTGTTTATTCATTAATTGGAATTTTCGCCATTTTTTAAAAAAACGTGAATTCTGCAAGCCTTGATTTTCTTTATGGATTAGTTTTATAGTTCCATAGTTTCAGACAAACAGTCTGTTAAGTTAGCCATCATTCTTCTTCTGCGTAACTGAACTGTAATGCATATTTATTTTCCGGTGACTCTAGTTAAATTGGTTTTGTTTTCCTTGTGGACTAATATGTTTTATTCAACATCGTTTCGACCAGATTTCGTTTTTTCTGACATATTTAAGTGTGTTGGGAAGCTAATTCAAAATGCCCTATTTTGATAGTGTAATGGTAAAGCGTTCGGTTTTGTGTTCTAGAACCCGGGTTCAAAAGCAGATGCAAAAGTTTGTTTTACGTTTTGACCATAGATATAAAAATTAGTGGTTCCATATCTGTGGTTGTGGCGTTGCTTTTTATTTTGACGTTTTCAGAAATTAATTTGAAAAATGAAACAATCAAAAAATTGTATGTTTTTGTGTGTACTTCACATGTACGTGTATATATATTTGTTTGTTTGTTTATTTATTTATTCATTTTGTTGTAGTCTTTGTTGTTTTTTCGCGATTATTGGATTGAAATAATTTCATTTTTTACGTGTTTGAATTCAATAGTTCCAGAAAAGCTGGCTTACACAGACATACACACACACACACACACACACACACACACACACACACACACACACGAGCACACACACATGAACACATACATTAGCACACACATATACACGCATACACACGCACACACACATACACACAACAGACAGTAAGAAGTCCCAGCCAAAATTGTATTTTTAAAATTCGACCGAATGCATATTTAATATTTCACATTGCGAAAAGATTGTTTATCACCTTTTAATATATTAATTAATTAACCAATTAATCAATTATTTATAACAATAATAATTATTATAAGTAATAATTATTATAATGATTATTGTTTTTGTCATTCACGAGTGAAAAATGGTTTTTGCAGAAATTGAACTTACCTACATCATGATATAATTCAGCCTCTTTGTTTAAATGCTTGATTCCTATGTTAATTAACCTGGAAATTGTTTTTCATTATTATTATTATTATCATTATTATTATTGTTATTTGTATTTGCATATACTTTTAGAAGTTTTCAATCCAGCCATCGTCGCATAATTAACCATTTAAATAATTAATCATTTGTTTAACTACGTTTAGCTCAACGTTTATTTGTTTATGTTTAACATTTAGTTATACCGCTATATATATATATATATATATATATATATATATATATATATATATATATATATATATATATATATATAGCCATAAGCTGCTTGCAGGTAATGCTTTCTTAATAATTGATACAAAAGATGTTTTGAATTAGAAATTTTTTGCTAACTTTGAAATAATGATTTTTTTTGTTCTCGTTGGCTTACCTACCTAACTAAGCATGTTGTTAATTAATATATTGATAGAGTTTTAACAAAAATAAGCATCACGCAAAAAAATATGCGTTTGATTGTATTACTAATTTTATATTCTATCTATTCAATCAGCCGTTACTAACTAACGTTATTAGCTTAACTCAGATGAATGTTTCGGTAAGATTGGTATCAAAGAAATGATACAGAAATGATACATTTGCATTGCGGTTGACGCATGTCATGTTCATCCATGTTACTGCATCTTCTGTCACTGTGTTCAATCCCATCAACGGTTTTAATTCTGGGCAGTTCTCGATCTAGGGACCTAATTGATGTTTGATTTATTTCATTGTTCATGTTGGCGGACCTTCCTTGGATGAGCAGAACATTCGATTGTCAGTTTGGGAGTGTTTTGTCGTTGTAAGTCGTCTTGTGGAGTTATTGCTGTAGATTGCAAGCGTTCAACTTTGCAACGCGAGTAGTTTGCGTTTTTTACAGATTCATCCTTACGTTCAGAATGTTTAAAACAGCTGGGACTTCTGTGTTTGAGGAAAATTTTTGACTTCTTTAACCCAGATCTTTATACTATTAAGGATACGAAAGCAAGCCGAATACCTATTTAACGGTTTCAATGGAAATTTTTCAAAAATTTTGAAAATCAAAATTACAAGCTCCTCCAAATGAAATTTGCAAGAAAATCTTTCTAGGAATACTCTTTTAACTCATATTTAAATTTCAATAGAAAGAAAAACGTTGTTGTTGTCGATTATTTGTTTTTTACAGCAAAAATTTTAAAAACTAACTCGTCTATGTTGTGTGAGCGGTAATTAGGATGGAATAGCTTTGTTTTTATAAATAATAATTCTAAAATATTTTATAAACTGACCTTAATTTTAGGATTTTATCAATAAAATGTCTCAATCGGCCAGCAAAAGTAGTACCGTTGACATAAATTTGTGGTTGCGAACGGAAAGTTTCTGCCTGGGTTCTCTGCCTATTTCACCCAATTCACGTCTGACGCTGAATGTCAGTTTTTTTTTATTTTCAGTTACCACTTTTTTTTTTAGTTGCTCTTTAAGAAAATAGCTGTCTCATGGAATGTTGAATAAATTCTTCAAAATTAATGACTAAATTGAAGATTATTAAATTATTAATTATACAAATTTTATTTATGTAAGAGGTAATATTAAATTTTAATAAATTATTCATAACTATTATAAATAATCTATATTATAAATTATTTTTATTACATTACATGTTACATTCATTGTTGACTCAGAATTTGAAGAAGATCATTCCTTACATCCTGACCAAAGATAGAAAAAATTTCCCAAATTTAACGTAAGCTTTTTTCAATAATGTTATATAAAAGTTATTTTATTTGATTATTAATTATTAAATAATATATTATTACACACAAACATACGCACACACACACACACAATATAATATTCAATACATAAATATAAATATATAGTATTTATAAATATTCATATAATTTATTTTTTACTATAGGCACATTAATGATTATTTTAATTGAACCTTTAAAATTTATTAACTTGTTTTTATTATTATTATTTCCCATAATCATTGTCATTATTAATGTTATTATTATTATTATTATAATTTTTTATTTTTCATTTTATTACACTTGTATTTCATTTATTATTACAAATCTTCAGGTTTTCCATTTGGAAGCACATAGCATGCAACAAGCTAATTCATACAGAACAACAGTCATGGATGTTAGTCTGTGTTTGTGTGTGTCTGTGTGTGTGCGTGTGTGTGTCTGTGTGTATGCGTGTGTGTGTCTGTGTGTATGTGTATCTTTGTATGTATGGCCATAAAGTAGAAGTAGATATAAAGAATCTTAAACTGACTAATTGTCTTGCATACTTGGTCAAGTTTTTATATTGTATCATTTTTACAGATTGTCATATCTGTGTGTGTGTGTGTATGTGTGTGTTTGTATGTTTTACAACTAATAAATTACATTAAGAGGATTACAACAAAAATTACATTAAGGTTACAATAACATTATATTAAGAAGATCACAATAATATTACATTATAAAAATTACAACAGCATTGCATTAAGATTACAATTACATTATATTAAGCAGATTACATTAACATTACATTAAGATAACAATAACATTACGTTAAAAAGATTACAATAACATTATGTTAAGATTACAATAACATTACGTTTAAAAGATTGCAATAACATTACATTAAGATTACAATAACTTTACATTAAAAAGATTACAATAACATTACATTAAGATATTTCTGGACTTTTGATATGCTACTGGAAAAAACAACTGAACAGAGGTTACTTGAATGGGATAAGTTACTCCATGAGGCCACTGATGACAAAACGTTAGGTCAGTATGTGTGTTTGTGTGTGTTTGTATGTGTGGATTGTGTGTATATTTGTGTGTGTGTGCGTGCGTGAGTGTGTGTGTGTATTTATGTACCTAAACAATATAGGGATCTTTAACATCTTCACTATATTATTTTTTTTAAAAGATACCTCTTATCATAATTTATGCAAAGGGCACTTCATCATTAAAACGAATGGCACCTCATTAACATAACAAATTCGGCAGCTGTCAATCAACATAAACTTAACTCCTCCCACACTTAACTCCTCCCACAGAGGCCCACAAAGCCGTCCTGCAGGTGCCTGTACTACCCTTTGTGATATTTTTGTTCGTGCAACACCTGCATAAGGTCTCCTTACGTACGTCGCTAGTCACTGGAAGTGATGAGTTAGCGATTGTTTTTTTTGCCTGTGTTTCAGTGTATGTTAATATGTAGTAGCAGTAGTAGTAGTTGTCTATATTTGTAATTAGCAGTTTATATGTTTATTCATGCTAATTTATGTTAATTAGGTGGCCTTCGAAGTTGAAATCGCCAGATGCGGAGGGCAAGTTAAACATTACTGGATATAAGGTGACGTGTTGTTTTATAATAATAATAATAATAATAATAATAATAATAATAATAATAATAATAGTAATAATAATAATAATAAAATTATAATAATAACAATAACAAACACAGTCTTACAACAGCAGTGCCAAATACTTCAGCCATTACGACAGCATACCATTCTTAATATTGTTATTTTTTGCTTTTACGTTCAGGGTGCAGACGAGAGTTCCTATCTTACGTTCATACTCAACAACTTGAACGACATTCTCGAACTTCTTGTTGAACCGGATGGTTGGTTGGTTGGTTGGTTGGATAGTTGTTTGTTTGTTTGTTTGTTGTTTGACTGATTGGTGGTTTAGTTGGTTGATTTATTGACACTAATTGATTACTTAGTTGTTTGATTGATTGGCTTGATTGATTGATTAGTTGACCGGTTCATCTCTATAGACATTTACATACTGATTGGTTTATTCAGTTAAGTAATTAATATGCATGACCATCACCCTGACAGCTGATAGCCAATCATCGTCCGCCAACAAGGTTTTATCTGCCCAAGCAGTGGATGCCCTAGATTTCATCATATCCGGGTCAGCCAATAAGGCTAGGTTGGCCATGATGATGACGACGACGACGATGATGATGGATGAAGGCTAAGATGGTGATAGCTAGACATATGATGTATGTATATATGATAAGTAACATGTCACCATTATTATTGTCACAGTGACATTAAGACGTTAAGAGAGCTAGCAATGATGGAACCCCACAGGTCTGGCTACATTAAAGTTAGTTGATGTCATTTCGACTAGCCTGTAATGTAATCTATGTCATCTGTATGTACGTTGTGTGGTAGGATTATCATTATCATCATTACCGTCACAATCATTATCGCTATCGTCGTCATCATCATCATCACATCATCATCATCACTACCATCATCATCACCATCAACATTATTATCTACATCATCATCATCACCACCACCATCATCATCATCATCATCACCACCATCATCATCATCATCATCACCAGGGGAGTCGAAATCTCAGTGGGTAAGCCGGAGTAGGGGGCAGATTATTACCAACGCTACTTTCGTTCCTAAAGATTTTGTTAAGGGGTCGGTGATGATTTTGATTGTGATGATAATAATACATATAACAATATTATTATTATTATTATTATTAATTATAATAGTAATTATAATTATTTTTTATTCCCATTGAAATTATTGTTCTTGTTAACTTTTGTTGTTCATGTAGGAACAAAGTTATAATATTGTCTCAAGTCAGTAGAATGACACTGGCTAGGGTGAGTTGGTTGGTTGATTGATTGGTTGGTTGATTGGTTGGTTGATTAGTTGGTTGGTTGGTCGGTTGATTCGTTCGTTGATTTATTGATTAATTATTCAACTGATTGACCGACTGAATCACTTTAGTTAAGGTTAGTTAGTTGTTTGTTTGTTTGATTGATTGATTGATTGATTGCTTGCTTGATTGATTGATTGATAAATGGTGAACATATTGATTAATTGACTGATTAATTGATTAGCATTTTTAATGGTCAGAGCTCTGGTACACTCTGTCAATCAGCAGTTAAGATAAGCAAGTGTAATGATTCATTCATCTACCTCTTATCTCCATTAAGGTTTGCTTACTTGTTTGTTTGCTTGTTCGTTTAAGTATGTTTTTTTGTATACGTTTTGTATACGAGTTTTGTATTTTTGAATGCTTTCTGGCTGTTCTCCTCTTTCTTCATAGTTTATTTTCTTGATTTTTAATTGCTCAGTTATATTATTTTGGTATGAAAGTTGATTTGTAACATAATTTTCATAAAAATCGTTACCCATTTATTACTTTATTAATTAATTAATTGATGAATTAATTAATCGATCAATTAACTAATTGATCAATTAATTAATTAATAGTATTTCATTCACTCAATTATTAATTCATTTAAAAATGAATTCTTGATCAACTGCCACCGGTCAGATCTGTGCTGATAGAGAAGTGTCAGAGGTCGACGATCATTCTGGGGGCCGTCGAGACATCTGTTGACGTCAACAAGTCCGAGCACATCACTGTTATCGCCGCCACCAGGAGGTTCAGTGCACAGTTAGTGGCTATCAGGGAAATTAGTGTTGGTTGTTTTGTTTGCTTGCTTGGGCGTGTGTATTATTTGTTTGTTTGTTCGTTTGTTTGTTCGTTTATTTGTAAGTTTGTATGTTTGTTTCTGTGTTTGTTTGTGTGTTTGTTTTTTTGTTTGTTTGTTTGTAAGTTTGTGTATGTTTGTAAGTTGACCAACACCACCACCATGCCAGAGGCTGCAAGTCCTGTAACATACACCTCCTGACACCAAACACGCCACTGCTCTTCAACACCAATAGCAACATCACCTTCGGGCCCTACCATACCTTCTACCCCAACCTAGAAGAGCACATGTATGCGGCCGGGCTGGCTCCCCTGCCAAACCTCTGGGACCAACCTCACGTTTTAGGTAGGCCGGTTCAATCAATTAGCAATCAATTAACATTTATACAGCGCAATTTCCAAAATTTCAACTGTGCTATCAATAGATTTTAAACCATAGACGCTCTCTAAGCAGCTTTTTTTTTAGTTTAGTTTCTAAGTGAAATGGTTATTTGAAATTGAGGGATTGTTATTTTGAAGTTGTATGTCTTTGGGATGGTGTAATGGTTTGAGGTGCCTACGTTTGTATTCTATAGACCAGGTTTAAATACACTAAGATTCTTATCTTAACTAAAGCAAAAGTGTGTTTGTTGATTCGTACGTATGCATTACATTGTACATATTCAGTAATGTGTAATTTTCTACCTCTATATCACTCATCGTCACCGTCACTTTCATCATCATCGTCGTCTTCTTTATCATCGCCGTCTTCTTTATCATCCTCGTCTTCATCATCCTCGTCTTCATCATCACCCTGCCCCAAAAATTAGGTAGTAGTGGTCTGGACGACGACAAGATATTTGAAATTCAGAAACCTTCAGACTTTTTCACCTTCACGATTCCATTCCAAATGGAGGGAAAAACGAAAGTCAGTCACCTACTAACATTACTAATTTTAGTAAATTACTAACGCCACTAGATTTCTAATACTTTTAAATTACTAACGGTACAAAAATTTCTAAACTCCACTTGATAACCAATGTCACAGTGATTTATACTAAACGACACTGCGTACCGATAGCGTCAATGTTCTGTCAAAACTACAGAACTGTTAACTAAATTACTGCCTAGTATTAGGTATTAGTAATTTTACCTGCGTTATTACACATTGCAAAAATTTCTGATGCTAATTCTATTGCAATATTGTGATAGTACTTTGGTTAATTTCCTTATATTTTTCTATTTAAAGTTACTACTGCTTATACTATTTTAACTGATGTTGCTGCCAATGCTACTCAACTGTTTGTGGTTTTTATTTCAACCAATCAAGCAACCAATCAAACAACCAATCAAACAACCAACCAATCAAACAGCCAATCAAACAGCCAACCAATCAAGCAAACAATCAAACAACCAACCAAACAACGAATCAAACAAACAATACAAAGCAGAATTTATTTACAATTGTTCGAATATCTATGCAACATTAAACGAAAACATGCTAGTTTAAATTACATTAGAGAAATAATAAATGGCAATGCATGAAGTGATACAGATCAAAACTATGGTTAAACGGTTGAAAAAGGCAAAAATGTGTTCTTAGAATCGTGAGTAAGCAAAAATTTATCACAGAAATAATTAGTTTAACAACTGAAGTTCGTTTAAGATATCGAACCCCGACCTCCAGGGAACGACGGATGCTTTAATTTTATCGAAGTTCACTTTTAAACGCTTCTCAAGAGAGTAGCCAATCCTAGGGAATACAAAATCATTAGATGTTAGCTTGAGAGATGGGCAGTAGTCGTTCTCTCCGTCACCAACATAGAGGACATTGTCGTACAATATTTCATTCTTCTTGCATTCTTCTAGATAATCTTTAAGAATGGAACCTTTACATAAGTTGTTTGAACTGAGGTCGCACCAATCTTGAAAGTGATACTCATCGATTGAAAGGAGGCCATTCTCATTGAATTCAGATGTATTGGTGAAGACGTTCTTAACTAAAGAATGTAGGCCATGGTGGCGCAGAATATGATCTATAAATATGGAGTTGCTGTCGGATATGATGATCACGTTGCCGTCATTCTCGTTGATGTACTGGAAAAGTTCTTTGAAGCCAGGAATGATCTGGATTGCTGACAAGCTGCTTAAAATTTCATCTTTTGTGATGCCGGATTCGTTGAGCAGGATGAACGTCTGCCGCATGTAATCCGTCCAACCTCTGTCTGAGTAGAGCTGGTCCACGGATTTCTGCAGACGGTTTGGTAGAAGATTCTTAACGACCTGATCACTATTCTCTTGGATGATCGTGTGATCAAAGTCAAATACGCCGAGAAGTTTCATTTCGAAAAGAATTAATTTGGGAAATATTTTCTCACAAAAATATGGTATTTCTAGAACTTTTTCTGCAATGTTGTACAATTTTTAAATCAAAATAAAAAAGACAAAAGGCCACAATCGTTCGATGTTGATTGTCGACGGTTGTCAGCAATGATATTTAAGTTTGTATGGCAAGGCAAAACATATTTAGTTATTATGTAGTTGGTTCTCTTTTTAATTTTTGAGCTGCTATAAATATATATTTCATTCTTTTCTTATTTATATATTAATTTGTCTTTCTTTTGGTTAATTGATTGATTGATTTTTAAACTTCACTGCTAATTTTTTTACTAAGGAAATCCCAGTTGGGCTGCCATCAAAGTACCAGAAAGCCTTGAACCAGAGGTTGCAGAAGGTTGAGGATTGGCACAAGCTGATGGGTGAGACTAGCATGACTTCTGATCAGAAAAAGTTACTACACCGAACCGTGCAAGCCAAATTTCAAGTCAGTATTGACGTATTTCATTTTTAACAATGTCGAATTTTTCAAACTTTTTCAAAGAGTTCAATTAATGTCATTAGGGGTTGAATATCGTTTAAAAAAAATTTAATTTAAATTAATTTAAATTATGAAGGAGTGGTTGCAGACGACAGGACAAGCAAGGTTGCTGCAGGATTTGGTTGTTCCTCAACAGAAGGCTGAAGCTTCCTCCAGCCTACAATCTCTCGATAAATTATCTTTGGATTGATTGATTGATTGATAATTTTCTTTAGATTGTTTGTTTGATCGATCGATTGATTGATATTTCTACATATGTGAAATTAACAGTTTATCTCTACAAGTTAATTTAATAAATAAGTAGGTACGTAGATTCGAAATAAGTCTTGTTTGTACTTTCTTTCTATATACGATTTGATTCCTTTTATATCAACATTATGCCTCTTGCTTCAATTTTGTTGTTCAACCTCTGGATTTGATATGGTATCGCCGCCAATTTTATATTTCATTCCTAATTTTAATTAAGAAGTTACAGTTTTTTCTTAATTAACGATGTGCCTGTTCTAACGTTTAACTGTTTTGTTTGAGTTTCTTTTTTTTTAATTTTTGAAAAACCGTTTCTAGATAATGACGTATGGCCTACGTACATACGTAGGTTGTTGATGTTCGCTGTTTAATAATATGTATTTGATTTAATCTATTTTCTTTTTTATTCTGGCTTTTTAATTCGAGTTTTAACATTTAAAAGTTTAAAGTAATGTTTTGTTCGTAAACTTATTGCTTGAAAATGTTTACTTAATAGCTTTCATGGACGTTTAGTCGAAAATGCAATGGTAAATATGGTAAATCATTACTAAATTTGGTTTTAGAGGAATTATCTATGGTATGATTACGCTATAAAAATACCAAGATGTCTTTTTTCCTCAATACGCATTGATAATTTATATAAATATTACATATATCTCCAGTGATAGGACATATACTGAGAATACCAATACAGCATATAACATTCTATATATATATATATATATATATGAGAATACCATAAATATGTAAATAAATTAATAAATAATATATAATAATAATAAATAAATCATACCATAAATAATACCATATGTATTAAAATTATATATATCCATGGTTATGAAACAAATGAAAAGTTAATCTAAGCAGTTTTAAGAGGATAAAAACGCTGCTGACGTTCTTTGAATTTTTTTATTGTTTATGATTTATATAAGTTTTTTTTAGGCTCAATTTTGATTGTAATATCATTTAATTAATTTAATTAAAGATGCCAGTTTTTCATACTAAAACCATCGAAAGTATTTTAGAGCCAGTAGCCCAACAGGTTTTTAGTTTTGATTTTAATTAAATGAATATTAATTAAATTAAAACTATTTAAAATTTAAATTTTTTAAAGGTGTCGAAATTGGTAATTTTGCATGAAGAGGCAGAGGATGGCAATGCAATGCCTGACCTCACCAGGCCTGTTCAGGTAGTCAAAATGGCTGTTGATAACTTGATCAAGGTTTGTTGGAGATCATCATTATGATTATATTTTAAAATACTGATTGGGTGATTTTATATTTCTCCTCCGCCTTTAACAAACTAGTAACATACTAATTTGATAATCTTAGACAGT